ATTACATTTGTGATCCTTATTACATTTGTGACCAACGTTTATTACATTTGTGATCCTTATTACATTTGGGTCCAGTTTTTACATTTGTGCCCTTCTACAGACCCCGTCCACACGTATCCGGAATTTTTTGTATCCGCAAATTATTTTTTGCGGATAAGAAAATGTTCGCGTCCACACGCAGAGTATTCGGATCGTTTTCACCGTCCACACGTATCCGTTTTCGTAAAATTTGCGGATACGGACACAAAAATTTGCGGACATGTGTGGACGCAACCCGTATCCGCCAAAAAAATTTGCGGATACAAAAATTTCCGGATACGTGTGGACGGGGCCTAAATGCAAGAGTTTTACTACGCAAGAAGATAATGAATTTGTACAAAGTGCTCCTAAATTTGGATGGTGAGTAATGAGCAAGAAAAAACTTCATGGTGGATAATAAGATAGGGTTAACTTAGGCGGCTGGCAATTTCAGTACAACCTATATCCAGCTTTTTGCAGGTACTTATTTGCTTGTTCTTGTCCCTAACAATCTAAAAATGTGTGCAAAGGTAAGAAATAATACCAAAAAATAAAGAAATAGGCGATTTTTCTGCTTAGTAAAAACAGTGGTTCGAACTTGAATGTGAACTAAATGTGTTCATTTTTTAAGTGCAGAAGAGAACAAGTTTTTTGTTCTAAAATTTTAGAAACGAAACTACTTTGAGGTAACAGTGGAGGATCAATGGGCCCCTATACATGCTACCTCAAATTTTTCACGGTATTCTTTACATTTTGCCACAAAAGCTTACATTTTTTGCAATATATCGATGAAAAACTTTGTATGAAATTGCACAAATTTGAGCAACTTAGTAAGCTCAGTAGAAAGTAGACCTACAAGATTTTGAACTAATTTGTACAATTTTGTTAGATAGCTCTTTCACGGATTTATGGTTTACATTCTAATAAAGATAATTTTCGAAAATGTATTTGGAATTGTCTGTTTTGAAAAACAAAGAGAGTTATTGGGTTTAGAGTGACAATTTACCATATTTCATTTGACCGGTTTCCGCAGGATCAAAATTTCCACAATGTTTTCAAAACGATATCCATTTTTGATATCTTTTTTTTACAAGCGCAATCACGCGTTCGTTATGGATGGGAAATTTCTCGGTTGAGCCTTCGGGATGTTTATTGCTCTTATTTTTTGTAACGAATATTTGAACGTTTTAAAAGATCGTAAGTACACTCGGTGAACCATTTCATTTTTCGGTCCGTACCGTAAGTTATGGAAAGCAAATCGACCAACCATAGAGCGTGATATTACCTTGCCATATAATTAGATGGTGTAACCGCTGACCACATCAACATTAAACATAATTTTTTTTGGTTTTATTTGCTTTAAGATCGACATAAATAAGTTCGACGTTTGACCTGAGCCTTAGTCGAACTTAATCATGAGTCGATCCCAAATGCGTTTAACTTCGGTTCATGTAAAGTTCGATGTAAAGGCCAAGACTAAACGTCGAACTTTACTCATATAATTAAGTTCGACTGCTCAAGTCAGTCGAGACAAAAAACACAAACTTTTTACGTACCTTGCTTATCCACGCATGTAGCAACAAAGTGGGCACTGCTCAGAACAGCTTGTACGTGATCTAGCCATCCACTTGACTCAAGTTTAGACAACCAAGAATTCATGCTTAGATGGTGATCCAACGCACCTAGTAGTATGTTTTTTTTAGAATATGAGGAAAATAAAAGTAATGTGATTCTTTTTGCGATTTAGAACAGTATCTGATACAATCTTGAAATAAGGTTCCAACAATCTTCTTTTTTCTAAAATATAATTAGACAATCCAAAGCGTAACATGCATGTAGCAGATTGGAATAGCTTTCCTAAGTCTATTAGAGTTTTAACCTCTTTGCCGAAGTTTAAGACTGAGTTGTATGTGTACTTTAGGGATTTAGATGTCAAATCACATCGTTGCTCGTTGACTTAGGTTTTAGTAGAATTTTTTACCTCGTATCTGAATTATATATATATACATATATTATATTATATTTTTTTAGTTTTTTTTTTCTCGTTTTTTCGCTTCTTAACAGTTTAGACTTTATTTAAACATAAGTGACTTAGAGTTATATCTTATATTTAACTT